ATCCTTCCTGATGATGTAATTGCATAAACATTCAAGGATTTGTGTGAAATTCTAAAGAGCTGTGGAACTAAAGCTCAGGAAGTCCTGCACTTGATAAAATTTACCTTAGTACATGAGAATAGGTTTTTGGGTTTTTTTGGTTGGTTTTGGTTTTTGGGTTGTCTGTGGGAGTTTTTTTGGGTTTTGTTTGTTCGTTTTTTGTTAGAGAATCAGGATAAAGCGATGTCAGGACATGAGAAGAGGGCCACAGTTCACATTTGCAATAACTGATGTAAGAAGCTGAAGAGCTGGCATCAGCTGACACATCAGCCTGCAAATTTGGGGGTTGGTCTTTTTCCATGGATTATCGATGAGCTCTACAGAGCTCACACATGAGAGAAGCAAAGAAGAATCAGCAACTCAAGTATCTCTCTGCTATGCTGTAAGACAGCAAGGGAAAAAAAAAACTTGACAAGTACAGTACTTTAAAATAGTGGTTGCAAGGGAGAGCTTACAGACCTCATTCAGCATGGAAGAAGAAAAGTAATACGCAGTGTGACACACTATTGATTTGGAACAAGAAAAATGCACTAGTCTAGTTAAACTCCAGCTACGTATGATTAAATATACATGAAGTAATCCTGAAGCAACTCGCATAAGGCTGTGATGAATTCTCCATCGTCTGAAAATTTAAAATCAGAGATGCCTTTCACAAAAGATATGCTCTAGCTCATCGAGAAGTTATGGCATAAATTACAGGGTGGAGTTTTACCGGACTGTGTTATATCTGGAGGGGTTTGGACTTGATGAACATAAACACTGCAGGCTGCAAGGGATTGCGTGAGATGACAGATAAGATCCTCTTGATAAGATCCTACTTAACTGCTCTAAACCCAAAGTTAATTTAGCTGCAATACACCAGTTACCAACAAATCATCCCAAACATTAACTTACATCACAATCTTCCTTATTGTCCTTCCATATCCAACAGAATTGTAATTACAAATTATACACTGAGTACAGTTGTAAATAGAAACTGATTTTTTAAGTGTGGGTCTGGAAAAAACCCACTGCTTTAACTGAATCATGGTAATTTTCTGAATAGATGACCCTTCCTTAAGGATTTAAAACCAGGAAATACATTTCACTGAGATACAGCCCAGAGAAGGAGAGTCATATTCTAGTAACATATCCTGCATGACAACATACAAAGCCTCACATTGTCAAGGTGTTGGACAGCTAGACCTCCGTGAGGCTGGATCTTTGGAAGTAAACAGTTACAGATGACAGAAGGCTTATAGGAAATTGGCTTAAAAGGAAAAAGAGAAAGCAAGCAAGAGAGTCAGAAACATTAGATCTAAGCAACTCACCTGAAATGGAGCCTTTCCTGTTAGACACTGATAAATGATGGTTCCTATACTCCAGAGGTCAGCTTTGGCATCATAGTGTTGAGACATAATGACTTCTGGTGCCTTTTTGGGGAGAGAACAGAGATCTGTTTTATAGAAGATGTAGTTTGGGGTTTTTTTAGCAGCTGCAAGAAAGAAACAGAAGTCACTATTACGCTTTAAAAACTCTTGAGCTAGATTCCAAATAACCATGAAAGATTTGTTCTTGAGAAGACTGGAACACTACCTTGAAAGGGCCAATTCCCCAAGTGGGGGAAGCAGGGACTTTCATTCAGGCGGACAAAAAAAAAATACCCTATGCTGTTTGGCTAGTTTGGGCAAACTCAGTACTTTCTCTTCTCAGAGTACCATTTTCTGCTGAATCCACCTGTGCTCAGAAGAAGCTTCGCTGAAGTCACACAGATAGATCTTGCAAACCAAAAGGAAGCAATAGGTATATGATTAAGAAGAGCAAAGGCTCACACTGCACAGGTAAGCTTCAGCCTACACGCTGATCTGCATCACTTACGCACTTTCCTCATTTAGCCCAAGATGGCAGCATATTAATTATGCTCCAGAGCCTGCTGCCAAGGTCACAGTTTAGGGTCAAAGGCAGATCTGTGCGTTTTAGTCCAACAGCTTGAGCCCTGCTGTGCCTCAGACTCTGGTTTCTAATCTCACACCATGCCCTCGGTTTTTCCCTCCCAGGCTTGTTCCAGAAGCTGGAGATGGTGCAAGCCCCCAGAGCCCCGTGGCTCAGGAGGCAGCGTGCCTCAGGAGCGGCAGCAGAAGAGGGACAGCAGGGCAGGCTTGCTAATCCCATGTGTTTATAACCACAGATTTCATTGCAGTGCTGACAGCATGGAACAGGATCAATTTTCTATGTCTGTTAGAAGCAAAGGCCACATGTAATGGAAAAAAAAATGGCAGCAAACAAGTTGCGGACAGGAGCTCGGTCTGTCCCCAAGGGAAGCAGGCATGGCACCAAACAAAACCAAGGAAGCAGGACAAGAACTGTACAAGGAGGGTTTGAGTCTCACGTGACACGGATCATATCAGGGTTCAGACAGAAAGCTCGTTCTGGTGCGGGTGGGCTCTCTTAAGAGCAAAACAAAACCAGCAATGGACTATGAGCTGAAGCAGGGAATAAGGGCCTGCCTTGCCAGCAATGCTCCTAGGGCTACAGCACGAGATACACCAGAGCAGCAGGGACAGACTTCAAACACCCCCTAAATCCCAACTGAACACTCCCTCCCCATCTTACTTCAAATCCATCAGTAAACACAGGAAGAACAATATGAAACATTCTGAGATTCCTTATAAGGTCCAGAGTTGTTTAAAATAAAAAAAATAAAACAGAAAAAGGTCATCACTAGCTTCCTCCAGCTCTTTCAAAAAAATAAGCTGGGTGTTTTCGTTTACTTTCACAAGAGACTCCAAAGAAAAAGTATCACTAAAAATAGACAATTCAGGAAACACTCACAGGAGAAAAAAAAAATGACATCATCTTCACATACAGCATAGTTCAAATAAACATCAGGCTTCAAAAAAAAAAGGGGAGGAAGACTGTTTTACTTGAGTTAGTACTGTGAAACAGACTACCAAACACTCCCCTGTGCAGTACAGCACAGTCCAGCCTAACTCTGCCCAAAGAGTATAGATAAAAAAACTTAAGAGTGGATTAGACCCTGTTCAAAACCAGGTGCCTCTGCGCCAGGGCACTTTAAAACTTTCAACCTAAGCTGATCCACATCATCTCTTTACCTCTAGCTCAGACACCCATGTCCCCAGGAACTATTACATGGCTGGCGCTGACATTTTTATTTCTGTCCTGGTTTTGTAATTTTTAATTTCACTGACTTGATGCAACACCACGATCTTGACTGCTGCCACGAACACAAACAAGAGATCATCTCCTCCCATCCTGGTCCCAGAGTGGGAAGTACAAAGCAGGTGAAAAGGATCGGTTTGTTTTTTTAAACACATCTGCTCCACAAGCTATCCTGGAAGAGCTAATCTGGTGAAAGAATCAGTGGGGTGGGAGGTGGGTTTACGGTGTGGGAATGCACAAAACAAATTGCAAACAGAAGCAGTTGAGCTCTGCTTACACCCGCCTGCCAAGTTGTACAGCGAAGCATAGTTAGCAGGGAGCCAGAATGGCAAAACCTCTGCCTGCACAGGTCCATAGATCTGAAGGGATTTTACAAGAACAAAGAGCTAAAAACAGCTGGCGATTTTACAAAACTGCTATTAAACAGGGACCTTGCTCCTGATGCTGTGGCCTTAGCAAAATACGACTGCAAAGCCTGAGGTGACAGCAGGCTTGTGGAACCACCCTGTCTTAAAAGGGCCTGCTGAAGCAGTGATTTACTCAGGTTCCTCTTCAGGGAAGCAACACCTCAAATATAGCTAGATGTGTGAAATATCACTCCAGTCCTCACTCTCTTCTGTTGTTGCTTTGCTACAGCAGAGGAAAGAGATTTCACTTTCCAGTGCCTCCAGTGGAAAGGCCCTGGACCCCTCTGGAAGATGCAGTTTCCGTGGAGCAGTCAGCAATCAATACTCCATTTTGTTCAGTTTTATTTATCCACAGCTCACCTGAAAGTTAGATAACACCACAGGCACCTGTCATCCAACATTACCAGCAGCTAGAACTTCATGAAGTCTCCCTGTGTAATAGCTGTTTTCTGACAAGTAAATAAAATCTCACCTTTAGGGGAAAGACTAGCAAAACACAAAGCCTTGCTTCTGAGGGGCAAAGCAAGAACAATACAGAAAAACCTGTAGGCAAAGCACACTTACCATGTACATTGGTGAACCACACAGTGTTGCTGCCATCATATTATTCTGCAGATATCGGGCAAAGCCAAAGTCAGCTACAAAGAGAAAAGGATAGATAGGTCCGGATCAGACACCAGTTCCAGAGAGCCTCCACCTTCTCTAGTTGATTCCCCCTACTTTCCTTTCATCTCCTGTGAATCTCTGCAGCAAGTGAAGCACCCCCATCTTAACAAGACTTCGATGGCTCTCTTTTTGAGCGGCAACATCCTCGTGCCAGTTATTAATGCACACTACAGACACTAGAAAAGGCTACACCAAGCCACAAAAAAAGAATACTCACTTCTTCCTGTACCTATTTGCCCGCACTCCAAAACATCAGCTGCTGGAAGCTGGTAAAGCTCTCTTGCCTTCGGCGAGAGCATGCCAGTTCCCACTAGCTAGTTCATCTGCTCCTATCTCAACTTTTAATTTGGGAAACGGAAAGCTCCCCCCAATTGAAAAGGCTGCAATGTAACAGGCATCCAAGAGAACACCACTACTCACCAGCACCCACGTTTCTAGATCAGCCCTACCGAAACCAGCTCCTTTAGAAGGGTTTCAACAGCGCTAACCTCAGCACAAGGACAGAAAGCTGACCGTAGTTCACCTGGTGGCTAAGAAAGCCAGGGACAAGGAATACCAAGATGAATTCTCTCTGCAGGTTACTCAGCATCTGATCATATGATACTTAGAGGTTCTCTCAAGGTTACCAGACATTTCAAGCCAGGAGATTGACACAGCTGTTTGCACTGTCATCTGTCACCAACGAGTTGGTACAGCTAGCTATTCCCTGGACCATGTACTTCTCAGGAAAGTGTGAGAGAGGGGTTGCAGGCTACATCACACCTAAGAGCAGCCATGCCTGCAGCCCTCCTGCCTGCATTTACAACTCCCAGTCACTTCCACCTTCCAGATAACTCCACACTTCACAAAAAAAAATAAACTGCTTCAGCCCAACAGGCAGCAACCTTTCAAACTCTTCCACTGGACCTCACTTCTCAGCTGAATGAGGGCAATGACACTTTCTCCACAGCAGAGGGTTCAGGTGAGGATCAGTTTTATCTAACTGGTGTCAGCTTCAGCTCGTGAACTGTAACATAACCAAAAGTCCACATGTTGAGGGTGATATCATCCAGCACCCATTTCTGAGGGACCACAGGTGATACATGTGCTCTGTAACTGGATTTCTGGAGCATTTATCCCAACACTGGCCCATGTAGGCCACTTGCCTAATGGGCAAAAAGCTAATTTCTTCAAGATGCAGCTGAAAAGCCTGTCTCTAATCTGGACTGTGGCAATGCCTCCTTTTAGGTGCGCCTGACTCCCATTGTGCTCTCTGAGGCCAGCCAGGAGAGCAACTAGTTTCAGGCTTTAAGACACCAACATTTACCTCAATGCTATTAAAAGCTGAAGACAAAAGTCACAATGCCTGCTCATTTCTTGGTAAACCTGGAGATTTCAAGCCAATTAGGGCAGGCTGGTACTTGTTCTGACCGAGGGAGGCACCATTCAGCTGGAAGTGGAGCACGGTCTGCCCAATTCTTTTGTGTTAGTCTGCACTCTGGCAGAGCAGAAAGCTCTTGCTCCTACTGCTTGGAGCCAACTGAAGGCTACACCTAGCAGAGGAACTAAGTGAGGAGGCAGAAAAACATTACAACATTTTAAGTGCAGCAATCCTTTCCTTCTCCCAGATAGTTCCCCAAAGAAAGATTAAGGCTGGCCACTTATCCATCACCAAACTCTCCTGAGAGCCCTTCAGGTGATGTTTGTAACAGGGTCTTACCAATCTTTATGCGAATGTTGTTGGGATTTGATTTCCTGCCTCCAGCATAGGAAAGGAGGATATTCTGTGGTTTCAGGTCCCGATGGATGATGCCTTTGCTGTGCAGCATTTTCATGGCACCTGCTATCTGCTGGAGAAAGAGCCTGATGGTGTCTTCACTAAGTGTCCGCATAGCTAAGAAGGAGGGAAAAAAATAACCACAGATGAAAAAACTACAACGCCAGTTCTCTGAAGAACCCAGAGGGTGGATTCTCCACAACAATTAGCCATAATTTGTCATTTTTATTTCCACGTATGGTTTTCTCCACACACCATTTCTGAATGATTCCTACAGGCAACAAGGGAGAGCATTTGCATTCCCAGCTTATTCTGTGGTCAGGGCTGTTTTCAGCCCCAAATCTCTCATGGTGAACTCGGGCCAGTGGCGGGTGCTGAATTTGGGTTATCAGCTGGGACCAAAAGCGACATTTGGTGAGGCTCAGGGCTTCCCTCCGCAAGAGCTGCCAGCCAGATCTAGACAAGCATGAGGCAGGGCCTGTGGTCCCAGGAGTGGGAGGGTCACTACCTTTGAGCTATGGTCAATAGTGGTTGGATAGCTAAGGTCAGAGCTTTATCACAGAGACTACGTCTAAAGGTGGAAGAGAAAAGGCCAAGAGATATGGGCTTCCCAAGACCTGTGGTGTGAAAATAAGCATTGAAGGGATTAAAATAATGTTCAACTGGCTCTTATAATCAGAGCAATGTGACATTAGCTCTTGTTATTTTAAGAACTATATATATATGAAATTCTTGCCAAAGCTGGGAGCAGCAAAATGAACAAACCCCAGGATCAACACTGCTACCAGCCTGCCCCCTTGTCAGTCACTGAGCAAGTCAGGCTTAAAGCAAGCACCATTCCACTTGAATAAAATAATTTCTTTTTGAAAATATCCCTGTAAATTACTTGGGACTTCATTAGTGTTTTTCCAGCTGTTCTCTAGTAAGACATTAAAACAAGCTGGCAGGAGCTTCAAAACACCACTCTACCTAGTCAGCTAGAAGGGAGGAATCCTTATGAAAACACAGATGAGGTTGCACACAGCTTTAACACAACACAGGAAATTAAAAACCTAACTTTTAAAATACATGCATGGGAAACAGCAAGGGACACGGATAAATTAAACAGCACTTAGAAAATAAACTGTCACCACTCCCAAACCTCACTGTTCTAGGTGGAGGCATAAGCAGAGCTAAAATGTCACCACTGCTATCAGCTGGTCCTGCACTCATACACGTGAGACCAGTGCACATGTATATAGAGTTTCTCTCCCCTCACTGGGCCTTCTTCCTCATGAACTGGCACTCAGCTGGAATTCAAGAGACACCTCTGCAAGAAGGGGAGAGTCTGTGAAAGGATTTTAAGGATATTAAGAGGCAGCTCAGATGCAAGTCTTCCAAACCCACCTGCATCCTCTGAAAAAAAAGCACTGCCTCATCTTTAACAAGGCTTTCCCTGACCTCCTGCTGAAATATATCAGTGTACTCAGTCCTGTACCATTTTCTGTCTATTAAAGGTCCAGTATCTTAGCTGTGCTCAATTTCTCTCCAACAAAAGGTCTCTGAAATATTTCTGAGATTCCTATTCAAGGAAATCTATTCAGGAATGGTTAGAACACCATCTTTAAACTAAACAGCAAGAATTCCGAAGTTTTTTTTCCCAATTCAGCTCAGGCCCAGGAAAGAACAGGCTGTCCCATCATCCCCCCCCAACATGAAGAAAGACTTGAAGCTTGGTAGTTCTTAACATTATTAGGCTAGCAGGCAATTACAAACTCCTGGCTAAATACACTCTGCCTCTAGCAGAGAAACTATGTTAAGAACCTTGTTCTAACCTGCAACCCCAACAGCATGCCACATCTTTAAGGCGTTACCCTCTCCTTTACAGAATTTGGTGGCTATAAGGCTAACAAGGCACTAGACACCTTCTCTCAGCAAAGCAGCTAAGCCTCCCTAATGTGGATTCTGGCTCTTTCGAAAACAACATTGCTACCAAGATCAGAAGAATCCATTCACCCAAAGAAAATGGGGCCTCTAAGCTACTAATTTCTGCAGAATTTAAGCTTTTCCACTTCACAGAAGGCTGTACAGTCTCAGCCCTGCAAAGGTACTGTTCTCATGACACATGCAGAACCTAAGCTGTCTTGAGCCTGCAGACAGATTTCCCCAGTGTGACTGCTGTGGCATAGTGGAGCTACCATGTTGCAGCACAGCAAAATTATAGACATAGGTCTGCTGCGTCCTCTGGCAGCATCAAATCTCACAAATCCAGGCAGGACTGTGAAACTGAGATGCTGCCCTCAGTAACAGAGAAGGGACAGTTGGTTACTGGGGAGCATATGGGCATACCCTTTTACCTCCCTCCATTAACAAACAGGCTGTAACATGGAAAAACAAAAGCCCTTATCTCTCATACTCAGCCCATCAGTTTACTGCATGACAGCAACAATCTCCAACTGAAGGACAGAGACATAACAAATACAACTGACACTGTCAGCGACTTCAGGATGTTGGTCCGCAAAAGATCTTCCAGACCAGCTACCTTCCATCAAAGGGAGGGAGAAAAAACAGAAGGCTCATTCTACTTAGGTGCCATCAAAAAAAAAGCGTGGAGAACAAAACTCTCTTTCTGTGCTACATCCCAAATTCAGAACTTGTACTTCTGTCCCTGTAAAAAGGGGATATTCTCATCTTCACCAGAAAACTGCTGACAAAACACCAAGCCCTCACTGAAGTCTGGGCATCCCTGTGGATGTCTGTGGTGAGCAACACGTTCTTGCAGAGAATGCTGTTTCACAAGCCTTACTTTGCCATTACTGAGAAGTAATAATATCCCTGTGTTTATTTTCCTGGGCTCCACTTCAGTGACAAGGCACTCTGCTTACTGCCTTGGGAACAGCAGCTACACTGGTCAGGAGACCAGAGCAAGTATTTGCTGCGGGTCAGTGTGGGGCCCAAATGCCTTGTAGCTCTTGAGGTGTAAGAATAGGATGAAACCACTTAAGTGCCCTAGTGAGCCTGCGCTGAGATGTTCAACCTGCCAAGAGGCTGTCAGGTAAACTGTAGTAAACAGCCCTTGTCAGCTGATCCAAGGGTAGATGCACTGGAGCACACCCGCTGATGTTACATGACAACACCATTTTGGAAAAGTTATTTAGGAAAAAGAACTTCTCCTCTTACCCACAGGTGCCACAAGTATCCCTCACATATGCCCAATCCAAATGACACAAGTCTGAGAGACCAAGCTGATTTATTTGGGGCCCATCTTGTAACTACCCCAGCTGCACCCATGCAGAGCATGGCCAGTGAGGCTCCCGTGAAGCTTTCTGTACGTGTCAGAAGACTTATTCCGTGTAAGCCTAGTCTTATCATAGATATTTCTTAATTACCTAGCTGTAGAGGGTGAAAAGTTAAACAGCAGTGCCTCACATCTGTTTGCAAAAGTCACCACACGACTTGGGATAAGTAGCAAGATAACAGCTTCTTGCACGTGTTGTGGTCAAACCAAGAAACACCCTGGAAGTTTTCTTCACAGGCACGTGCTCTCCAAGAAGCAGCTTCCAAGGCAGGCCATGAATATGCACTTATGAAATGTCCATAACAGCCTGCATCAATGCCAACTCACGGAATTTAAGAAATTTTAGATCAGCCTGCTCTGACCTCCCGAGTACCTGAAGCCACAGAATTCCAGTTATTCCCATCCAGAGGATGCTCACTTCTGTAACGCTTCACACAGCTCTACCACACACAGTGGCCATCTGCCACTCTCAGCTTAAAACATATCCTATGGCGTGCTTTAAACGAAAGCAGCATCCACAGAGATCTATGGGAAGGGAAAGTGCATAGTACCATTAAAGACCACCACGACCGTGGAAGCTGCGCTTGGCAGAGCACACACCATCTTGGGTTGTATCGAAGAGATGGGGCTGACCAACACAGTAACCCAGCCGAAATGCATATTGCATTGAAACGTGCACAGACACACGTCTTCCAGTTATGAAGACAAGGAGAATTAGAGTGCTTTTGGATTCAACACAGAATTACCTTATTGCCCAACGCTTGTAATTAGAAGGCAGAATGGGCTGGGAAGCTTACAAGCACCTCATTCAATGAGAAACAGGGGATTTGCATGCGCAGCTTGCCTCAGTGTTACAGGAACTACCAGCAAAAACATCTGAGGAGTCAGTGGGAAAGTAGACATTGCAATTAAATACCATCACACAATTATTAAAATAACTGAAGCGGCACAATAACCGCTCAATAGAGATGAGCTTCCTGTGTACCAGTGAGATGCCCTGGAAGAAATCTGAACTTTCCAAAATGAGCTTTCAGGAAAAAATCGTTATCATCAAAAGCACCCCAAGCACCTGCAGAAGCTGGGAGAGGAAATATCCCAAAGGAGCAAGTGGTGGAACGGAAAAATCCACATCATGCAAAAGCTGACACTTCTATCTAGGCTCTGGGGTCTGGAAGACCCAGATCTCTGCTGCAGAGATGGGAGTAACTAACTTCCTTGCTGCAGTCCCTTACTGACTGCTCCCTCTGGAAATCTGTGCCTGCTGGGGTTTTTTTACTGGCAACTGGCACAGCGATGTTAAGAGTAGAAACAAAAGTAAGAACGAATTTCCCAGTCACAACAGCTGCTTTTTACAATTATCCAGTTAAAATATTTAATTGGTAAAATCAGAGCTAAAGGTAACTTTCAAATTAACTCAGGCAAAGAAGGATCAAACCTTACCTCAGGCAACACTCAAACAAACCAAACTGGAGTAAAACTGAATTTTATTTGGAAAATACAATTCATTGTCACTTTCTCAAGCTAGCCACCAGTGTCCTGAGAAGTCTCATTTGATAAACAAGGAAGTGAGCTGTATTAATAGCCTAGCTAATTAGACAGTATGCTCCACTGTCATTTTGGGTTGGGTTTTTTTGGGCAGGGGGGCACAGGTGTGTTGGTGGGAGATGGTAGAAAGCAGAAGATGACAATGAACACATAGAAGCAGCAGTATGAAGAGGAAGATTTTCGATAAACCCATGTTTCTATAAATCATTTGGCCAGAAGCTGTGTTCTGGTTTACTTACACAACTTTGCCAACAAGAGTGCACAGCCCAGTGCTTTAACATCAAGGTTCATTTCACTTGCACGAAAGCTGAAGACTTCAGCTTTCAAAGCCTAGGCATTAGTAAAACCAAACTTGACTATCTTTTAAAAGCATTTCATTATTAAAATTTGCACTTGTTTTCAAGGAGAAAAAGGAGGTATAAAAAGACCCACAACATTTTCACTTGGTATTCATAACAGCATTTCACCACCAAAGATGCTCCTTTCAAAGCACAGCAATACCCAACAGATGCAAAACACCATCACTTATCTAAGACAAAGCACACTAAACCTGGATTTTTAAAAAACAAATGCCTGTCATTTCTACCTTACCCACATTTTAAACAAACAAAATACATGGAAGGTAGAATATTCCTTCATTTTCCTTCAAGTGCTAAATCCTTTCTGAAAATTCAAGTCCACAAATGTAATTCATTACCCTGTATGAATAGTACAACACACTAGCATCAAGCCCCAAATAATCGTTCCAGGGATATCAACACTAGCTGTAAGGCAAATGTAAATTTAGCTTTTAATCCTTCAATTTTTGCCATTTCCAGGCATCATGTACCTCAAATAAGGAGCCTGAAGTATTATCCAGCTGACTAGCTTTTAATTTGAACGATGCGAACAAACTTTGTTTAACCATGACCCAGAGCCACACATGAAATGAGATTAAAGTTGTCTCTTCACATTTAGTAATCTTCTAGTTAACATGCAAAACAACAAGAAAGCTACTTTAAAGAAAAAAATAGAGTCAGGCCAACAGAAAATAAGGGCTGTGTCTGACTGCAGCTAAGGAACTTGTTAAATGTGTTAGCCTCCTACTGCTTAGGTATTCAGGTGCAATGGGATTTTCACATGGGCTGGGATCCTGTACCCATGCAGTGGGCTGCACTGACAAACAGCTTGGGAGATGGAGGCCTGAGTCCAGCAATACTGCGTGACAACGTGCAAAACACGTTTTGTTCAGTGGTGGCAAAGACACACTTCGGTCTCACCAAAAGGTTCTTCAAGACACCACAGTCAGATACCTGTGCTATAGTCTGCAAAAGACCCTGAAGGTGGTAGTTTTCATCACCCCCACAACACTACTGGCTACAGTACAGTCACCCTCAATATACCGAAGCAAGCAACGTGTTCTGTCCTAGATGTGGAGACACCCTTTGGGGAAATACACTCTTGGGATCTTATTTTAAGCCAACCCTACAAAACTGCAAGACTTCAGTATAAATAGCTTTTTTCCAGCAACTAAGAAAAAGACAAAGCATGTCCCTAGTAGTGTTAAAAGACGTTTAACCTATAAGCCATTGTAACTAAAATATGTAACTACTGACAACAGCAACCAGTGACCTACATAGGAAAGACTACAAGACTAGCTTTTACTGTCATGGATTCTCAGTTTTCAAATGACCTCTTAGAAGAGGAGCAGTGATACTGTTTATTTTGCAGGAATTAAAAAACAAGATATATCATCTGCTTAGTTAGACCTTCCACAAACCCCAGCAACTTTAACAAGCTAAACCAGTCAGTGTTTTCTTCCGAATACAGAGGATATTCTCCATATTTTTCTACTTACTGTGAAGATAGTCTGCCAGGTCACCACCATTACAGTACTGCAAACAGAAGAGAAAGCTCAGTTAATGCAAGGCAAATCAAAGATTAAAAAGAAAAACAGTAAACTTCATAAGGATGGCAGGCTTATCATGGTATTTAAACATAAATAGTCACACATATGTCACAATATGTATAGAAGTTAGCAGGAAAAAACCCCAACATTCCAGTAGGTTCTTCTTCTGTCCTATTTCCCCTACATACTATGATGCGTTATGATATGCCAGCACTAGCTAGCATGTGTACATCAGTGAGAAAAATAAAACCAGAACAAAGCAGAAGGTCACCACTGGAGAGAGCACCCAAAAAGCTGGTTGAGCAAAGCCTGGGAGCAGCTACAGCTGAAAACTGAAATTCCCCACATCATGTTCCACATCATTAAGGAAAGCCAACAAGACCTCAGAGTGAAGCTACAGAGGAAAGAAAATGTTCAAAAGGTTTGCAGCTAAGCTGCGTGGAGAAAAATTGCTTTCCATCTATCTCTGAAGTAGATACTACCCAGTAACACCCATCAGACATCTGACTGATTAAACCTGTGCCAGTACGACCTTCTGACAGTAGTAATATGAAAAATCCCCCTGGCTGCTATCTTCACCCACACTGCTCCAGTTCTCAAAGGCATGCAGCCGCAGATTACATTAGCAAATGCATCACACGTGAGACTGTGAGCAGAAAACACGGCTTCTGTAACAAGCTGGTCTGTTTAAAAAAGCTTTAAAAAAAAAAAAAGAAAAGGGAAAAGAGGGAGAAAAGAGGGGGGGGGGGGGGGTAGAAAACAATAATAATAATAAGGATAAGAGACACTCACCTCCATAACCAAGTAGACAGAGTTTGCCAGTTCCTGGGGAAAGAGAAAATGGAAGAGAGATTTATGCATTGAAGCGTTTCACATGCATTATAGCTGCTGCATTTCTTTTTAAATAAGTAAACTGTGCTCTATATCCAGTCTGAGACAGGGGGAAGCTTCATTATAGATTAATTCCTGGAGGATTGCTTACTTTCAAAGTGCCAGGTATTAAAGCATTTTATTCCTTTCTGTGTGTGCACCTATTTAACCAAGCAAATCTCCTGTAGCGTGGCTTGGGTCTTCATGTTCCTTTTGGGCTCTTGGGATTAACAACGGCATGCAACACAGATGATGGCACACTACTATCTTAGAGCCTTAATCATTTCCACATTTAACTTGGCCCTTTATAGCAGCTATGCCCACATGAGCAGCACTAGTCTGAACAGAGAGATAAGACCAACATAACTTTGGGACCTGCAATTCAACTCCACAGCTGAAAAGTACCCAAGAGATTTGAGGTCAAAAAAGAAAGATCTCAGGTCAAAACCACAACATCAGCCAATTAATTTCTACACATGCAGTAACAGAGTGCTATTATCGGGTAGCTAAAGCTTTCTGGATTATCATGGGGGTCAACACCAGCAAAGTCCAGGCCAAATGCTCATCTTCAAGTTTGCTACAGGTGCTGCACTGTGATGATGCTTACAGTCCGGAGAGGTTACCCCTAGCCTTAGCTGATCTTCTCCACTGGCTCTCTGGCCTTAGGAAGCATGTACGAGGCAGCATATCCATGGTACAAGCACAAGATACTGCAGAGAAGTACCCCACAAACATACAGCACCACAGAGCCTCATCATGGAACTTTGGTGGCTGCAGCACACACGTTGACACCAGCAGCTGCCTGGCACTTGTTTAGCTGAGCCACCAAACCACTGGCAGAGAACAAACATGAAGACAGTCAGATGTTTCAGCCTTGGGTAGACCCAGAAGGGTAAACAAGACTAAATCCTCTTGTTGAAACAGAAGTAAGACAGAAGCAGGCCTGCTATACAGAAACCTGTATGCTGGAAGTCACTCCTAAACTCAAGGCCCAGTCCTGGACAAGTGCAGACAGCAATTATCTGGGCGAGTGGAGAAGCTCTGAAAGCAACAGCACAGCAAGAGACTTCATTTCCATAGCTCCAGGGCAGCATGCCTTTACTTACAGGCTGTTTAGACACCTGCCTGCCTGATTCCTCTTCCGAGCCTGACTACAACTTCAAAAAGCCCCAGCATCCACCTTAGCAGCCTTTTAGTTTCCAAGCAGTCTCCACTGTCTGCGCTCAGGCCCTTTCATCTTGGTCTGCCCACAGGACTCTTGCCTCCCCTCAAGCCTGTACCAAGCTGCCTGCCTTTGTCGATGCCTCGAGTCCTCAGCATGTCCCATCATTTCTCTTGCAGTCCTCTTAACCTCACAATGTGAAATCTGAGTTTCCAGATGCTTGCTGGAAGACTGGTTGGAGGGAGGGGGAAGGAGAGGAGAAAGCTGAACTACCTGCAATTTGAGAGACTCAAACTACAGCTGCATGCAGCAGGGGCCACCTTCCACCAGACCCTGGGGCTCACCATCCCTGGCTCCTACAGCTGTTCTCACTGCCAAGCCCAGAGGAGCTTTTTGAAGGTCTCCTTGTTTGTCCAAAAAGCAATTTTCTGTGATTTTTCAAGGTGGCGTTTGTTGCATTTCCTTGCATGGTCAGTACTGCTTTAAACAGGCCTTGTTTTCCAATCCCTGCATTTAAAAGCAGCACATTTAAGTCATCCACTTTCACACATGCTTCAGATGAAGTGGGAAACGAGCCTGTGGTTAGAAGCACTAGCCCAGGGAAGCGGCACAAGAAGAAAACCCCAGACACTGTCACCAGCCTTGCACATCACAAAGCCCTGGTGGAAAATTTTCAGAAGCATTCAAAGCCCACCAGCTCCTGCTGTCCTTAGCAGGAACGGTGGAAGGCCAAGGTTTATGAAAGACACCCAGGCCTCTCACTTCTCTGGGAAGTCCAGCCACAGATGTACCAGAAGACGAGAGGACGCACCAGAAGTGTGGTACAGCTGCCCAGGGAACGACTGCAGGGCAGCAGGCCACGGAGCTCACTACAGGGCAACTGCCGGGCATGGAGGAAGTGTCTGAAGTGGTTTTTGCAGCCTACACCAAGTTTATCATTGTCATAGCAACATTTTTCAAAGGCACTTCTTGTCTAAACCTGCTGTGATCATTGCAGCTCGGCACCTCTATGCTTTACGTACAGTGCCAGCACGGTTTGGGGAAGCTTAGTATATTATTACCTATATAGAAAATGAAGAGGAAGCTTAGCTTACACAAACTAAGTCCAAAAGGTATTTGTAATAAGTTATTAGCCAATAATGTGCACTGTCCAGTTCAGTTGTTTTTCCACTGTATGTTATTTAAAGACCCTGCAAACAAACATCATCAAGTCATTGATTTTTGGCAGCCAGTGGGTACAGTGACTAGGGTTAAATAAGGACCTACATGGGCAAGGGAGATGCTCTGCTTGACTTCCACAGCAGCAAAATGACCTTGGTGGTTGGTGGTTTTATCCCACCGACATAGGGTGAGAGGTAAGAGGGCAATGCCTGAAAGCCTTCTAGGAGAGAAGTAGGTGGCTGCCCCAACCGTTCACTGGCAACAGCACCCTCTGAACATTCAAGCCTGACTAGGAAGCACTCTCCACCCTGCTGCACGCACACCCACCGCAGCAGAGGAACATTTAGCAAGTGTATTTTCAGATCGTAGTAGGGATGACACAACTTCCACATTTGCAACTTCAGCATTTCGAGACCCACTTACTAAAGAGATTTGTAGGAGTTTTGCCACCAAAACCAAACATTTATTCCAGGGAGGGCCCTGGAAACAAACTCTTTTTGGAAAAAGCCCTCAGCCAGTAGCTTACGCGGTTACAAAGGACACAACTGTGTAAAGAGACTGACGGTTTCTCAAATGGGCTGATGGACTTTCTCAAGCTGATTCAGTAGCAGAAATTACTTTTCCATTTTATCCTTCCATGGTATTTGTGAGTTGTTAATTAACAAAACAAGGACAAAATACTGCAGGCCAAATTTTGCAGGCTACCAGTCTCTCTGAAAAGAAACAAAATGCCCAACCCACTCATTTCCACATCAGTAACAAGAATAGTATTACAGTTTGTTGTATTTCTGCAGAGGCTTATGTCCAAGAAGCGCTACAGATAATTTCCTCTGGACCTCTTACTCACTTGTGCCAGCCTGTGCAGCCAAGGCTAATCCTGTCACTAAACAAACTTGACAAAGGGAACCACATAGAGGCAACCCCCTAACTTTTCCTCTCATCACAAAATGCAGCAGTACCCTGAGCATGCACCGCAACAGCACCAAAAGGCCTCTGCCAAAGACATTGAGCTGATAATTAATCAGTCTGGATCACTGCCTGACTTGTAGTTCTTGCAGCAGAGGCCCCAGCGATGAAGTTACAATTTAATTGAGTGTAAAAATAGGCAACAGCCTCTACTGTCTACAAATAACACACATCTGCTGACAGAGGACAAAGACATGAAGAAACTTCATTTAGCAGTAAGGCATAAATCATCCCAGGACAGTGCTGTGTTGAAATCCCTCACTGGGACATGGACATCCAGACCCAGCAGTCCTGTCTCCCTTTAAATTTTCTCTCCACCCATACTGGAAGGTGGCATGATCCTCTTCTTGGAAAGCGTGTGCTTAGGTGTGTCCAAAGGGAAATGTCTGGGTGTACCCACAGTTAGTCATCCTCCCACCACAGCTTAAAAAGTCTGCAAGAGGAAACTTCCTTAGAGAAATCCTCCTCTGCACTCTACCCCAGCACCTAGCCTGCCACCAAGTTTAGAAAGACATTTAGGAAGGGAAAAAAAGTTGAAGATCAATTACTCTAAACTCTCCAAAATTCTCCCAGCCATGCAGTGTTATCGCCAATCTGTGTTGTAAGAGACACTGGGGTAAAACCAACAGAGAATGGCTCCCACCTCACACAAATCCTTTTTTCTAGGAAGACTGGGGGATGCAGGAGGAACACGTTGAAGATGAACGTAGCTCCACTGTTATGCCCGCACGCTTAGCATCGTGTGGCTGACAAGGCTCCCACTGCATACAGGAGAGAAGCTGTATGGACTCAAGCGCTCAAAACTGGTTTTGTCACTCTCCTGAAGAACAGCATACCATCGCCTGTTTGTTCACCTCCCTCAGATGGCAAAGGTTCCTGTTTGGTACCTCTCAGGAGGCATCTACCATGTGTTCATCAACACTGCCTCTCAAGCAGCACCCAGAGCAGCTGCCAAGCAAAGATAATTGCCACACACAGACCCCTCTAAACAGGGCTAGGACTCACCAATTGTACCAACACATCAGAAGCATAAAATAAAGCTGAGGGTCTGACAGTGGAAGATAAACTTGACACCAACTGAAAGCTAAGCGTTTCCGCTCCGCTTTTGGGTTTGTTTTTCTAAATGCTACTTCCCTTACTCGCTGCAGCAGAACCACAGCACACTGCATCCTCCCGTTTTGCCAGTGGGATCTCATGGAGTCAGTACCCTTTTGGCCTGTGGTCTCTAGTCATTGCTCTTCTGAAAGTTCTCTAGAGAGGGAAGAAACTTTTAAAACAGTAAAATCTCTTGGTATTATTTCACTCTGGCTCCCAGCAGCATGGCTTGAGCAGGCTAACCTCTAAAGAGGGAAAGGAAAACTGTCATGCTATGCAAGGATTATCTCTTAAGGCAACTATTTGAACGGAAGCAAGATAAAAGACAATAGTAACATCAATCTGAATTGTGGGAGCACCTGCCAATGTTCACCCTTTGGAAAACAGATCTAAAGCAAATAGCTAGAAGATATTCACATGCCTTTTGACCTTCGTGTGGAAAGAAAAACATGTCTCAGTCTATTGTGTTTCTCTGTTCTCTGGCCCTGGTCATTCTCTTCACTCCTTCTGAACCTTACCAATAAGAAACTCAGGAACATTTCAAGCAGGTTTCCAATTCAGGAGACAACAA